AAACCACAAGATATATAAATATATTGTTGTTGACTAGATGTAAATACTTTTGGAATTTCCTTTTTCCGATAAACCTAAAGGATCTAATTATTATTTTATAAGGTGAAGATGTCTATATTTGTGAAGTCCCAATACATGTGTTTCCCCATATCTAAGGGATAAATATATATCCATCTGCGAGTAATTAGTATCCTGTGGTTCGAGATATGAAATAAGATCGGCTTTGAATAATCAATTTTGAATTATTTTATTAATTCTTTCGTGCCTTACAAATTATGAACGATTCACTACAATGGGTTGTTTAATTTTGTATCAACCATTATCCAACATCTTTTACAGTTGTAGGGTAGATATATGTCAGTTGTAAGGTAGATATATGTCTAAGTCAAGCTTCATAGCCAAAGCATTTCTAAATTCCTTATTTGTTAAAAGATAATTTAACATGCTTGGATAAGCTTCAAACCATTCGTAGCCTGATTTATTCATTATCAATGAACGAAGGTTAGTACACGGACAATCGACGGAGCGTGACACGATTGCAGCATCACAATCCTTTTGTAAATCATTGAGTAGATAAATTGAGCCATAGGAGGTGTTAACAGACCAGGATAACAAAGCATTGTTTAACATGGTGTCCTCCAATGGTTTAATTAATTTGAGAATTAGATTTTTATTTTTTATAATGATGAAATAAAAGAAAATAATGCAAGGAGTAATAGTGATAGTAAGCCAAGACCGCCAGATTTTATTGGAAGAGTGCTTCGGTTATTTTGGTGAAATTTTAGGTTAACTATATTCTCCAATATCGATTTAAATTTTTATTTATATTTTAGAAGTAAAGATGGAAATAAATAGGCACCAATGAAACAGAATTGTATTTTGGGAATATTAATTTTTTTTTATTTAAATAAAACGCCAGATGGGAAATATTTTCTTTTGAATAAAAATTAATCAGATTGCGTTCCAAAAATGTTTGGTAGAAATCTTCCAACTGGTGATCCGAGAATGAAGATTTTATCTTTAGCCACACGAGTTAAAAGATCAATAATTAGGGAAGAAAAATTTGTAGTTATGACATTTTTAAAAAAATCTTTGAAGATAAAAAATTGAAGATATTGTCGTAAAAAAAAATTTGCAAAATATAAAAATTAAATTATGCAATTTTATTTAAAAAAACATATTGGAAATTTTTTAAATTCTTTTTTAAAAAAAATACATAAAAGGGAAAATCAAATATTTTTTATTTCAAAAATCTTCTTTAAACATGTTCAAAATTTTTTTTACAAAAAAATCTTCACATTTTATGATCTTCAAAAGAACAAAGACCTTTGAGATTTTTGAATTTTGAGCAAATGATAAGCCCTATGAAAAACAAATTTAGTTGATGAAAATTTAAAATGATGATGTACAGCTTAATTATTTCACTGATAGGACCCAATAATGTGGCATCAATCAAATACCATATATTGAGATAAGATTACCTTTGGTTTTTATATTTTAGATAATGTTGTTTTTAGCTAAACCTAGATCTACAGAATCCTCTTGTTGTATTACTTGTGCTGAAAGGATAGTTTGATTGTCATATCGTAATATGGAAGGTGCACAATAGCTTGAGAATACAATTGAAATATAAGTAAACTTTTAAGAATCTTTTGATTAAAAAATCACGATTTAAATTATTGAAGGCATTTTTTATGTTAATTTTGAAGAATGTGTGTTCTGTAGATATCCATATAATTCTTGCCGTGTGGCTAGCTGTCTCGTATTCCCATTTAATGCCAAGCCCTGATTAATTAATAGACGACAATTCTGGCAACAGATTTTTTATATTGCGTATAATTTTGGAGATTATCTTTCTTATGACTCCTCTATGGGCGATGAATTATGTAAAGCGATTAGTCTGGCCCCAAAGAACAGTGGAATTATTCGGTGAGGTAGACCCCCATTAACTATTAAGTTACAGAGATCGATCAATGTCTTCAATAGGATCTGAGAGCTCAAATTTTCTGTATTTATAAGATCACAGAGATGGACTGGCCTGATTCCATACAATCCTCCAGCTGAGTCTAATAAAAATGAATCAGTGACATTTCGTCTAGAGTTAATTTGATCAATGATGCCTTTAATAATGAGAAAATTTTATATTAACATTAGCTGAATGATTAGAAAGCAATTCATTGAAAATTTGGCCTGTGGCAAAATTTGTTCATTGTTAAAAAAAAGCACCTTTGCTATTGAAATTATTTATTTCTAAATAAAATGAATAGATTTATTTTTCCTGTAAATTTTTTAAAATGACTAAGCCAATTTTTGTAAGATATTTTTATCTTCAAATGTGGATATTATATATTTTTAAAAAAGAATACTATAAAATATACAATCCTTCTATCAAAATCGCCTTTTTTGTCAGGATTCGAGCATGCCTTCTCTTTTTCTTTAGAATAATAGCACGCCCTTGCAAAAAATCTAAAGAAAATAGCAACTGTACTGACTAAATTCTTTGATCCAAAATATACACTCCCGTCTCCATCTACAGGGCTACCTAATAAGGATTCGTATTTTTGCTATATTACTAATCCCTTTTTGTTTCGATAAGGTACAATAACTAACTTATAATCTGACTAACACTGCCTTTCAAATAAGAATCTTGTCAGTGGTGACAAATTAAGCTTTAAGTGAAGAAAACCTTTAAGAAATGTTTCTTCTTCGATATACCTAATACTCTTATTAAAGGTGTTTCCTGTTCATTTATTACTAAAAAAACTTTCTATATGCTGCGAGATTCTCACCATTTTTAAAAATGAGGATCTTAGCATAAACTTAAAATTAGACCTATTGAAATCGCCATGAAACTTTTCTTGACTTTGAGGGGAGAGGGGATTGGCATCCCCTCAATCTTGTGCCTATCTATGTCGACCTTCATTTCATCAAATTTCTTTTCCCATTAATTCCTCAATTTCCAGACCGCTCATCCTAGACAACGACCAAACCTTAACACTTGACATATGGGACCAAAAATGTCCACAATTTCATTCAGACCAACCTCCCATAAAAAGATACTGGGATTCTGTATTTGTGCCCTTTGTACTGATTATCTTCTGATGAAAAGGCACCTTGAGGTCAAACTTAATTCAATAATTTTTAAAGCTAAAACTGGATATGAATGGCATGAAGGTATACCTAGCTATTGGGGTACTCTTCTAGGCAGAAAAACTTTGGACTATCGCACCCGCCTTATAATGCAGCACATTAACATAATTGCTTTGACCGTGATAAATTCCCAAGAAAAGCCACTACCTACTACATTGATATTCTCGCGGACACAAACCCTGCCACAAAGCAATTAATATTCTATTTCAAGCTCTCAGCTAATATACCCTCCACCCTCGTTGGTCCCTTCAATGATAATTAAAGAAGATCAATTAGTACTACTTTAATACTTTGGTTTAAAGACCTTCTTCTAGTCTTATCTTTGGGGATGAGGTTTTCCAATTAATTATTAAGCCCTGGAAAAATAACTGTAGACATCGTAGATACAAACGAGAGGTTTTCTAAGAATGAATTCTCTTTTGGATGACCCCACAACTTTTTTTAAAAAATTATTTTTTTATAGCAAACAATATCTATATTAAAGACACCCCTTTGAATGAAATAACTTTTCAATAAGCAAAAAATCTCCTCTCCTAAATACCAAAAATGTGAGAAATCTGATTTTTGGCAATTTAACTGAGATAATTAGCTAGATAACTGGATTAAACCCCTCCCCCACTTACTTTTTAAAACTTTTCCTTCCTATCAACCATAGACTGAAAATCAAAAATTTTCTTGAGGCCATCGTAAACATCCACTTTCCAAGTTTATTGGGCTATTGCAAAACTTCCGACCAAACAAGGTGGTTTTGGGGTTCTTCCTCTTAATTTAGTTTCTTTGTCAGCCTACCTTTCTTCTATGCGACGTTATATATAGGCTTGTGAGTAGTAGAGGTAACCTATTTGAAATTGCTTGTGACTTATAGGAAAAAAAATTATGCTTTTTATCTCTTCCACATTCTTTGGCACCGAGACTTTCTTAACCCTCTTTTGGCTACCTTTAAGAAGTTGGTGGGGAATAATCCCTCCATTCCTCAAATGCGTGAAACAAAACTCTTATCATGAGTGGCCTGTAGCTGACCCTAGTGCCAATCTTGGTCTTTTGCTATCTGACGAGAAGCTGAGGGTGACCATAGGATATTGGCTAGGATGTGACATGTCTATACCTTCAATGTAGAGGGTGCTGAAAAGATTTCGATTCTAAGGAATGACGGTTTTGCCATAATGTTTAACAAATCATGGTGGCCAGCTACCCAAACATCTTGGAACCCCTTTACTTATATGATGGAAAAAGACCAATTGGCTCACAAACAATCCTTGATTTAGAGAGGTAAACACCTTATTCGGGGTTTCACTTCTGTCTCCCAATTTTCCTCTAACTTAAATATTGATCCGATTATTACAACCGAAAGGTCATAAATATGAGTACCACGACTTTTCAGAATTTCACTTTTTCCAATAGTTAATTCTACCAATTAGTCCCTAAGCTATCATTTTTTCAAGATTTTAGCAAATGAAATATTAATCAACTCAAATCAGTGTTCCTAAGCAACTATCTTAGTTTCCTTGGATGCTTCCACCCAAGTTACTTCTTAAATTTTTATATTTATCTTGTTTTAAATTGTTTACATGTTTTATCCATATTATTTTAATATAGTTTTATATATTATGCTATTTTTTGATATATTTTTTTTAAATTGGAATCGTTTTTTATAAATATTTGATTTTCATAAAGATAAAATTGAAAAAATATATTATTTGAATAAATACATTTAAAGCTTATTCCAAATAATAATTAATTTTTAGAGAAATGAGAAATAATAATTTTTATTCATTAACGAAAGAAAAAAAACATTTTATACTATAAATAATAAATCATTAAAATATAACCATTATTATATAAACTTTGAATATGAAGGAAAGGGAAAATAAAAATATATAATGATATATGCAGAATATAATTTATGTTTTATAAATGATTAATATTTGATTTAAGCTTTGCACTATTTATTTTACAAAATTAAAACGTGTTTAAATACACATATAAAAGGTAAAAATATGAATAATTTCAAAATCGCTTACAGCACCATATTGATATTACTGTAATAATAATAATAAAATGAATTCTATTATATTTATTTCTTTAAAAGTTCCTAGCAAAATATAATAGTGTATATAAAAGTGGCGTAAAAAAATATCACATTTTAAATTAACTAGTTTTTAAAAAAAAAATTGATTAAAAATGGAGGTTTTAAAAAATATATCAATTAAACTCTAATTTAATAATTAAAACATTATCTAAAATAATTTGTAGTAAAAGATTTACAACAACGATAAGATTAATTTTTTAATGATGAATGTTTTTTAGATAAATGGATCTAATTTTTAGCCGCTTGCTTGGTAGGAGTCGAAGGTTCCTTCTTAGCAATCACGTGAGGCGACTTTTGCTTAGAAGCACTCTTGTGGGGCACAGACGACGCGTGCTGTGTGTTAGAAGGAGCTCCGGTTGGAACAGCTGGAGGTGGAAATTTCTCGTTGGATTCCTTTGGTTTGTTAGCGGTAAAATGATCTTCAATTTTGCCCGTGTGCGCCTGGGTAGGAGAGGCGGGAGAAGTAGCCTTACCGGAGGAGCTTTTGGCTCCTTCTGGGACCCCTAGGAATGCTTGGGTGGCTTCAACGCCTACATTGATTTCATAGTTAGATTGAAATACATTATCATAATATAATATCCTATTTAAACCCATCTTTACAAGATATAATGATTCATGGTGCAAAGATTTGATTTTTATAAGCACAAAATTACAATGAAATGAATGAAAATAAAATATAGCAGAAAATTTACATTTACTTCCTCCCTTTTTTTTCGTACATCATTTCTTATCCTTAATGAAAATTTCCCTAATAAAAAAAAAGAGCACAAATGACTAACCTCCGACAAGCTTGTACTCCAACAACATATGATTTTCAGGTGGAAGGCCGACGCAGGCCCTTATTAAGTTTTCTATACAGGATTTTTGCTTGAACAAAGCGTTTATGACAGGGGCTCCTTTAGGGACCAGGGGAGCCTTGAGCAAATAACTTAGCACGCTCATAACCGGGTGGAAGGGTTGAAACTCTTCTTTTGCTTCCAAGGAAGCTTAAGATTTTTTTGAGGTTTATATTGTGTATTTTAATATAAAAATAGATATATATTGGACCGAGCTATCTGTCGAGTCAAAAATAATAAAATCATTATTTAAATAGAGATTTCATTTTTTTAAAAACTTGGTTTTTAACATTATTATCAAAATAACGATTTTCGCGCTTTCATTTTTGTTATTAATTTTAACCGGAGTCCTGCATCAAACATATTTCTTATAGTCCAGTCTGATCCAATAAAAATTGTAAAAATTTCGACCAATCCGAGAATTTTTTTAAGGATTCAAGTCTGACATTTTGTTTAAGAAATGTCCGATTTGTTTTACATTGGACCTTTAAAAAAGCACATTTCAACGAAATCGAAAAAAATTATTCGCGTTTAAGGATAATAAACAATTATCTTATTATTCTAGAAAATAAATTTTTCATACAAATATTCGAAAAACAAAATATTAAAAAAGATTAATATCTGGTCCGATAAAAATTTAGAAATCAACGAATCCTACGGAGTATGAAAAAATGTCCGCTAGAGTTCGAAAAATGTGTTGCGGGTTTATGTTAAAATTAGTTAATCTTCGAGAAAAAAGTACTTAAATTTTAAACTTCGCAAGAAACTTAACATTATCATCATCATCATGGGGTCACCAGCCCCAAAGATGTTGAGAGTGGTGGCTATTTAGTTATTTAATTTCTAAATCTTGCGTTAATCATTAGAAATTTATGGCGGGGGATGTTTTAGTATGTTGATTGCAGTCATTGATATATATAAACTAGTTGATTGGTGATTCATTCATTAAATGCATTTAAAATGTTCATACATAGGAGTCTGCTGTAACGTCCTTTTATCGTTTACAAGTCGATTAAATAACATTAATGTGCGCTCATATAATGAAAGACAATTAATTAGTCGAAGTGCAAACCACAAAATAGCGCTATAACTCATTTCTATGTAGGGACACTTAATTAATGAATTGCTAATCTAGTGGTATATATACATCATTGATAGCAATATAAAAAAAGATTTGTTGAAACAATTTCAAATGTTTGTCTAATAATATAAAAAGTTTAAATAAAATATAGCCTATATACATTTAATTTTTTGGGAAAATATAATTAATTTTCCTAATTATAATCGTATTTATCAAATCCCATATATCAATCTAGCTATTTTGAGGTCGATCATGGTTTATAGTGCTAGCTTAAAAAAATCAAAATAAAAGGTAATAAACTAAATACCATTTTCAGGCGAAACTATCTTGAACTTGATCCGTTCAAACAATTCGGCCAATATCAAAAGATCCAAAATCACTGGTGCCGCCAACAATGAGTCCTGAGAAAATAAAAAATTATTAGAAAATAATTGCGACTTTTAGTTAAAAACCTCGCAAGTGTTGTGGATGACGATGGTGCTGTGGCCGTTGAGCATGAGTTCGCTTGTGTATTCATCCATCGCCCTTTTGCTGTCACCGACTTGCGGAACGTATTTGATAACTACGCAATGGTCCGGTTTTGAACCAGGTTCTGGATAGAGAATTCGGTTAGAATTCACAACGTCGTCAACTACGTTGCTTTTAGAGATCTGAATAATGATAACAATAATGATGATTTCTTTTTCTTTTTTTAACAGCGTTCTCTCCTTATAACATTTTTAAAAAAAAAATGATCGCTTTCTTTTTTCTTCATATTTACCATATGCTTTTGTATGTCAATTTTCTTTTAACCTGTCTTTTACCAAATCCATTAGTATAAAATTATAAATGTTGTTAAAAGTAACTTGTTATAATACTAGTTACATTTAAATTTTTAAGTAATTAATTACATTCCAAGCTACTTTCGAGATAATTACAAATTTTAATCGAAGGAATTTAAAACGAAAATTTAATTTATTTAAAGAAATAACTGCAATGAAAAAAATAAATATCACATGGTAATTTATATTGAAACAAAAAAATATCATAACATTGCGATGTAAATTAGTTGTTTTTTTTGTATGTTTTCGCTTAAATTGTCCAACCCTGGATTTTTACATAGAAAAGGGGGCATATTTCATATGTTTATTATGTAAATCGAAGTTGTTTGTTTTAACGATTAATATGTAATATTATTATTTATCGATAGTTTTTTTTTGTAAAAAAAAAGATTTCCTTCTTATTTTGATATTAAAAATAGTAGATTTTGATTTTTGGATTACAATATTGATATTATATAAATAGTTGGTATTAAAAATAAAGATTAAAAAATCGTCTCAATAAATTCGGTCAAATAAATAAAAAATAGTCTCGATAAATTGTGGTCTCATAAGTTTCCGTCGCGATAAAAAAAAACAAAATATCGATATCATAATCCAAAAATAAAATCTATTATAAGAAATGAATCCTATTTTTATAAAAAAAAACATTGATAATATTATATATTAATCGATAAAACAAACAACTTCGATTTACATAATAAACATACATAAAAAAATAACATATGCAACAATATATTTGTACCGAAAATAAAAATATAACATAAGGCCACTCCCAAAATATACTTACAAAAAATACGAATCGCTTTTCCGAATCATATAATTCTTATTCGTATTCGTACGTAAATTATAAAATTTACTCAATTTGATTCGATTAGAAAATTAAATTCCATAAGAAAAATATTGCCAAAAATGGATATTAAAATTTTTAAAAAAATGTTATTTATTAGTTGCTGGAAAAACAGGAAAATAAAATTCGGCATGGAAACATGTTAAATACTTCTAACCCTGTATTGCGAGCACTGTTAGAATAATTACTACATTTTTTCAAAAAAAATTTAAATTTCTTACGGTATGTGTAATAAAATACACATTATGCAATTAAGGGATACAAACTTCTAATTTTTTCTCAATAATTTTTACTATACTCTAAACTATATAATTAAATTTTATTTAAATACTACAAATATTAGTTTGAACATCTTAATTTTAATGAAAATCTATAAAATAATTATTTTTGGGTGTAAAACATAAATATAAGCTATATTTCTGACAAGCTACTTTTGTTGCAAATAAGCAACCTGGCATTTTACATACCCTTTTCTTATCTATATATTTGGGTCAACAAGCCGTTAGATCTTATCTAACAATTTCATTTGGTAAATGTTGGGCAGATCCTTTCTTACATCTTTCACGATAACCAGTTTAAACCGATTTGAGTTTTGGCATAGTGTTTGAAATGGCTTTGCTATATTTGCAAAAGACTTCCGCCACCGAAATTTTGAAATTATATACTCTTTGATCCTTGCGTGCTATTGATATACTGATACAATCACGCCTGTATAACAGCCATGAATATATGAGAAACATGTCAAATATATGAAATAGAATTCTATGATACCATTTTCTTGATTTAATGAATTCTATATAACGCAAGTAAAGATTCTGAGATCTACATCCTCCCATGAATTTATTATAAATTTAATGATATTTTTCCTTTTTTTTATCTTATTTTTAACAATCTATTAATGGATGTGCACCTATAAAATTGCTTAATAAAGTCACAACACTATTGTCGTGCCACTTCACTGAATTAAGCTTTAATCAGTTTATTATTATTTTTTTTTTAAATAAAAAATCTTCGACCATTTTTATTCAACTCCTTATCTGTTGGGAAGGATATTTGGAAGTCGATTGCCTCTGACCATGGCCACGCAAAATATCACTCTTTGTGTGAGTACTACCTGCAAATTCGGAGAACAAAACCAAGTAATCAAAAAATAATTTAATAATTAATTTGCTGCGGAATATAAGAATTCACAGCATGGAATTGTCACTTGCTCCCAACATCAGACAATTTTCCGCTGGTAGCATCCTCTCAGAATATACTTCAAAATTGTGCAGAAAGCCGTCATCTCCTTATAGGAGAGTTTATAGCCCGATTTTGGGGGGTTATTGAGGGTTATATCGTTTCAACCTGCTCATTGTAAGAAAAATTTGCTCACCCACGCTAATATTCTCGCCTATAGGTCTTTACACTTTGGAAAACTAATGGTAAATTTGTTAAACAGTTTTTCCACACCATTTTTATCCTGACGATTTCTTTTTCATTTTCTTCGAATTCATCTTTTTCATTTTCTTCGAATTTATCTGTTTCATTGAATCTAGATACTTATAATGAATTATAAGAACATATATTTTAAATTTACATAAATCATCATTATTTTGGGTTGATCTTGTCACTAAATTATAATCTTCGCTATAGATGATAGCACAATTCATAATTCTGAAAATATAAAACTCTAATAAAATATTTTAATTGCATAATGGGGCTTTAAAACCACCTATGATCAAAATATAATTATCAAAAATAATAAATATATATAAAATAATTTCATAAACATTTATTTTTATCTTTTATTTAACTAATTTTCATGTTTTTAAATTAGTCAAATATATCTTTTCCCGATGTGTGGAGAATTGAGAAAAATAATTTTATAAAAAAGTAGTGTGTAATAAAATGCGAATATATAATAGATCGTGTGACCCAAATTAACATTCGAATCGTCGAAAATATGAATTGTTGCTTTAATCACACACCATGCAATTAATTCAAAATTTATTTATAAGAGATTTATTATATAATTTGTGGTAGGTGGAATGTGATACACAATATGCAATACGGGGTTTTAAGAATAATTTCAAAAATTTACAAATTATATGGGAATAATTTTAGCAGATTTCGGTCGAATAACAGAAAAATTTATTCGATAAATATATTTTCCTTAATTTTGTTATTCGTATTCGTAAAATACGAATCGAATATGTAATAATTCGTTTTAGATATACAACTTCTAAGCAGTCGTTTTTTTTTCTAAGCAATTTCTTAAAGCATATCAACAAAGTAGGATAATAATTTGTAGAATATTAATTTTTTTTTAAAAAATAGAGTATAGGTAAGACCCTTAGTTCGACTATATAAAAATTAGCCACCATTTAATCGTTAAAAAAAAATTCTATTAACGATTATAGGGTAGCATATATTATGCAAAAAAATTAATTCGACAAATTTATTATTTTTTATTTGGGAATAAACAAAAATTGCTGGTGACATCCCTAGGAAACAGTTTAGGGGAAAGGACTCGTTTGAAAGTAGCCTGCTATTTTTTTTAATTTCACTTTAACAATAAACAATTTTCAAAATTAGTATCTTTAAAGGTATGCTTATTTTCCTCAATGACTAAACAAACGTTCTATAGTAGTGCTCTATATAAGTAAGACATTATATTTAATAAATAGTAATTCCGAATTTGGGAAATTATCACAAATAAAGAGTAATAAATGAAACCTATATTATTTACCATATTTTAAAATGTAACTAGTTACTTTGTCGCTACATTAGAAAAAAGTATCAAGTTACCTTTCACAACACCAAAAATTAGCATACGAACACATCATTTCATCTTTTTTTCCTCTTGCCTTACGTAACACAAGGATGAGTCTCAAAAAGATGCATAGTCACATGATATCCTTTTCAAACATTCGAATTAACATGCATAGTCACATGATATCCTTTTCAAACATTCGAATTAACACGTTATGATAGCACTATGTTTTTGGAAAAAAAATTATTAAGCGTTAAAAAAAGGACACCATGTGACTAAAAAATGGCGTATATTATTTGTTTTTCGTATTATTATAGGTAGGTGCGAAATTCGAATAAACCTCCTTGGATTTAAACTGACTAGGGGCCGAGAGATTGTACCCATCGTTGTTTCCCAAGTGATTGTAGCTGACTATAGCGAGAGGTTTTATGCCGGCCGAAACGAGAAAATCAACCAAAACGCTTTTCAGTTTGGTTTGACCTGTTTTAAAATCGTCGCCGGCTATAAAGACGCCCTTCTTTTCGGCCAATTCGATGACTCCTTAAATTATTATTTTTAACAAAAATAAAAAATTAAAAATAGTCTAATCAAATATTTATACGCAATTTAGGCCCGTTTAAAAAAAGATATAAAATGAATTTTAATAGTGGTAATGGGACCAAGATGTTCGTTATAATTTATCATGAATAAAGGAGCAAAATTTTCCAACCCCCCCCCCCCCCGCCTTTTTTTGTAGATATCAAAAATAATAATATCAAATTCATGAAGATAAATAATAAACGTATAATCTTGCAAAGATTACTGCAAATAAAAAGTAATAATGTATAAATTAGAGATCTGTGGGCCCGGCCCTAAGTAATGTACATGGGCCGGGTCGTATTTTAATTTTTTTAAATATATACGGGCTGGGCCTGAAAAAAATTTTTAATACCCGGGCTGGGTCGAATATTATCTATAAAAATTAAAAATGAAAATCCGGGTGGGACTAAGTTTTTTTAAATCCGGGCCGGGCTGTGCAAATGATACCTCTGCAGGTCTCTGAATCAAATTAAACAAAACAAAACCCTTAAAATAAAACAAAAATTAACATAATTATAACTACCTCCATTGTAGCATATGTTTTTTAAAGTGGAGAGAATTTTATTCTTGAATGTTTTAATATTAATGTCAATCAATTTCGTTCTAAAATTAAAAGTTCGATAGATTTTAATTTCAAAGTGTGCCTATTATATCAAAAAATTAAATTCACAAACTTTCGAAACTTTAAAATCAAAATATATAAACAAGCTATTTTGATTTGACTATAAAAATAAAAATATTCCTAAAACATAATTCTAGAAAATTTTATAAATTTAACATACGATTTCAATTAAAATTTTTAAATTTGACAAGGTTTTATAACTTGGATTTTTTCAAAATGGTTTTTGACACAACCTTAAAAAAATTCGTCCTAGATAAAATCTTGTTTTCAGCACTACTTTATCAGTTTGATTAACAGATGGGGGAAATATATGTCTATGCTTTATACAATACCGAAATTATTTAACTACATATCTTTTTTGGATTTTTTAAATTTCACAGATTTTAAAATATTAATATTTAAATTTTGAGAGCCATTGTGTTAATTATAATATATGTTCTAAGATATCTGTTTACATTTTAAAAAAATAATTATTTTATTCTTATTTTAAAGAAATCACGATTGTGCCCTGTTTCAGAGGGAGAAAAAGCGGTTAGAAGGAATAATAACGAACCTGGAACGAAAGTATTTTGAGGGGACCCGTTTATGTAAGTACAATTTTCAAATATGGAGGCCAAGGCGAAGAGCGTGGAAGGCGATACTTCGGGATCGTTATTCTCAATAGATTTCATGAGCTCATCGGCAGTGGTATTCAGGCCTGGTCGGACTTCGCTATAACGCTCCGTGTTAGCGGTCCATAACACAATCACCTGATTTAAACAATATTTAAGTTATGATGTAATGTAAAAAAATGTAAAACCAGGGGGGGGGTGACAAAAAAAGAAAATTTCAGACAGTCACAGTAAAAACATGAGTTCGACTTAGGTTTGGAAAATTTACCTGAACTTGGGCTCGGCTTCTGAATAGGATTTTCATTATAAAAAATTATTTTTAAGTAACAATTATTGACATGACAAATGACAATATAATAAAATATAAATTATAACCATTATCTATAACCTATAAACTTTGTTTAAAATTAACAGCAATCATATGTCTTGAGTAGTGACACCAGACCTATTCAAAAAAGAATCTATTATTAGATTCCTTTTGATTGAATCATTGATTAGTAACGAATATGAATAGTAAATTATTCGTTTTGTTCGAAAGAATATATGATTATTCATTTGACAAATAATTTAATGTATTAGAAATCTAATTAATATTCAATTCGGAATAATTAATTACTATGTTTTTAATAAAATTTATTACTATTGATAACATGTCAATATTACACATTATGTGTCAACTGCTTATGGAAGGTTTTTCTCGATTGGAACTAATTTAATGTCAAAAAATTGAAAATATAACTTTTTTGTAGTAATAATTCTATTTTCTTTCAAATGTTCCCTCTCATGCGTGCCCAATATATTACTAAAATCTTTTATATTCCTAAGATTTAAGTTAACCAGATCGAATTTGCATATAATTAATAGACGAATTTGTCAATCCAATTAGCTTAATGAGTCTATAATCGCTTCAAGGTAAATCGAAAATCTGCCCTTTTTTCATCGGAACATTCTGGTAATCCAAAAGGTATCTATGTACCTACTAAGAACATTCCCTCCCATATATTGCTCTTAAAAAGTTAAAACCTCTTTTATAATTCATTTCAGATATAGGGTTTGTTTAATGTTTATATTTCATTAAAAGAAATTTTTTTTATTGCTTATTAGCAGTTTTTTAAACAGGAACCGGAAATATAACTCTTTTTAGACCAGGATCCAGATTATAAAATATAATAAAAAGAAAAATTAAATAAAATAAAATAAAATCATGCGATTTAAAAAATTTATAGCATTTCATCCAAATCGTAGAAAAATAATGTTTATAATTTAGTAATTAATTAACGGAATAAATTTAAAATATTTAAATTTGACAAAAATCATTAAATAAAAAAAAATGTTTAATATCAAATTTAGAACCGGAGCTAAGTGTCAAAACTAAACATTTATAAGAACATGAGCCATTTTTTCCATTGAAATTTCCAGAAGCGGGAAACGGAAATACAACAAAATGTATTATTCATAAAATAAATTAATTTTTCTTTCAGCTTTTTGTAAAAAAAAACAAAATATTGTTTACAAAATTGGAATTTTTTTACATTTATTCGCAAATATCAAAATGAAAAACGATAACTAACAAAACAACAATTATTGGCGCTAAGGAGAAACAGTGCTTAGCACCCCCCCCCCAATGAGCATCCCTAAAGAAATTTCCAGTGACACCTATGAACAAATATAGTTTGTATAGGAATAATAAGATCCGCTTCGTTAATATTAAATTAAAAAGTCATCATCGCCATTATAATATATTCTATAAGCCATCCCGTGACTAAACATACGTGATAGATTTTATTATTTTCGCCCGATCATCGATTTCTCATTTAGATTACCAAGTCACCCCCTTCCTCGCTTGGAATATATACGTCAAAATAGATGTAAATCAAACAATTCCTTCAAGTCCAGATCGAACCTAATATCGATTGGCATCGGTCTACGAGAAAATCAAACTGTGGACCTCTTTCTCAATTAAAAAATTTGACTAACATATGCTTCTAACTACAATTCGACACGTGCAGTGTTTTTTATGACCGAGTTTAATTAAGCCTAAAAATATAGCAAAATAAAGAAGGTAATTAATAGTGGGCAAAAAATAAATTTTTATACAAAAAATATTTACATTTCAAATTTTGTCTACTTTTTACTTTTTCGTATAAAGTACAAACTAGTCATAATAAAAAAAAAAGATAGAATAAATAAAAGTTCAAAAGAGTAGTATATATAAAAAATTATTTGGGCACGTGGTGAACCTTGATATTAGTGTTGTTAAAAGGCTCGAAACCAAACATTTTTAAAAATCTCGAAGTTTGCACAATTTTTTTTTGGCTAAAATATTGAATTAGCTTATAAAATTCGAGCCATTTAACAACAATATTTGATATACTTAAAATTCAAAATCTTCTATTTAAATATATTATGAACAATATTTCTTCAGGGTCTAGGACATAAGTTATATATTACCATAATCTAAAAACAAATAAATGGAAAGGATAGCATATTAGGGCTCGAAACATAAAAAAAAAAGATTAATCATCAAAAAATATTTTTAAAAAAAATTTGTAATTCAAATATAAATAGAAAATGCGTCTAATTTGTCATTTTTTAATTTTTTTTTTGTTGAAAAACAATTTTATCGCTATAATCTGAAAAGGTATCAATAGTAGGCAGGGATCCGCAAAGCTGGGCCCTTCCAAAAGCAGGCTCGGCTTGGCTAATTTATTATATATATACCATATTTTTTATAAAATTATAGGCTTCCAGACATTTTATAAAATTTTAACGGGCCACTGGGCATTAAAAATTTTTGATTTTACTATTTGAAAATAGATAACAATAACCTTATTTCCTAAATATTTTGCTCTAAACTTAAAATTATACTATATGATCAAATATAAAAATTGCAATTATTGTAAAACGGTTTGTCATAAATCTTCAAAACCTAAAATAATCTCATGTGATACAAGCAGGGTTTAACATTGCTCAAAATTCAAAAATCTTCAAAGATCAAAAAATGTGAATATTTTTTTGTAAAAAAAAATTAAAAAAGGTTTTATAAAAAAAATTTTCTTCGATTTTCCCTTTGATATTTTTTTAAAAAAGAATTATTTCATCTGGGAATATTTTTTATATTTTTGTAAAAAAATTTGATCATGCTCATCGAAGATTTTTTGCTCAAAATGTTAAACCCTGGATATAAGAGCCTTAATTGACATTGGGGGGGGGGGGGGGAGAATTAAATATAGATATTAAAATGTGATTGCAGGAAGATTTGTACAAAAAAAACTTCAACGAACTGGGTCAAGTAACTTACGCAAAAATATCTTAACGGGACAAAACGGGATCTTGCAGATCCCTAATAGTCAGAAAAAAAAACGTGTTTGGCTGAATATAGCTTAGGTTTACAAAATGGGCAAAAGGACTTCACGTTTTTTTTATCTAAAAAATTTGTTTAATATTATGCGTTTTTTAAGGTAAAGAAAATATGTTTACAAATTTGCATGTTCTCATTTGAAATTTCTGGTAAAAAGTAGATGCTTCAAATTTTAAGCACAATATTAGATTCCCAATTATTGTGAGGAATCAAAATTATGGTGCGGTATGACAGAAAAAGTGAACTTTTATAGTTACAAAATAAAAACCTTTTGGTGGGTGTAATTACCAAAATAATTTTTGCATAATATTAAATAAAGTGTCAAAGAATTACATTTATTTAATATATATCAGCTATAATCGAACATAATATAATGAAAATAAACTATTATTGAATTTTATATCCCCATTGAGTTTACAATTTAATGCCATATTTATTACTCCTAAGAACAATTTTCTTTTTCTTCCATTGACAGCTTTCTAATCAATCTTAAAACTAAATCAATATGATTTAAGAACAGAAATCAAAGGCTTCTATCAAAGGGAGGGGGTGGGCATGATTCAAGAGCATCGTTAAAATTAAAGGGGGGGGGGGGAGATAGTTTTGATTGGGATTTTCTCTTTTTGTAATTTTGATTTAGTAGGAGTTAATAGGGAGAGTAAATTTTCAGAGGGAGTTGGGGGGGGGGGGGGGGTAAAATTATAGAGTGAGGGAGGTGGGTTAGTTAAAATTGTCATTGGATTAAGGAGGCTTAGAAATCCTTACCAGAAATATTATATTATGGTGTTATAAATAAATTTCATATCCTTCCTATTTTTAATTGATCATCTTTTTTTAAAAATAGAAAATAAAATTTGGAAATCGCTCTCTTCATGGTTTTTTTTATAAATTAAAATATATTATGATATGAATAACTGAGGAATTAACATAATTTTTCTTAATGTTCATTGATTTTTTTACAAAATGAATCTTTCAGGGCATATATATTTATTAAATAAAAAATAATTAATTTTTATATATATATTGGTAGGATATATATTTTGTTTAAAAATTGATGAAAGATGTACCATTATTTCCTGTATAATTAAGTATGAAAACTAACTAAATTCATATTTCCAATACAATTAAGTATAAAAAAAACAAATTAAATTTATATAAGAGGTGAACAAATACTTGATCTAAATTATTTTTTGCTTTAAAATCTCTAATATCCAATTGCACTCTTTCCATTTGTTCCTTTTTGGATCCACTAATCACATTATCAGCTCTCTCAGCTTGGTTAGCTGCTATGAAATCTGGTTGATATATTGAAGGTCTTGGCTTCATTCCTTTCATCATAGGTTTTAATTGTATTTGCAAATTGTAATCAATAACCTTGGCCCTTATCAAAGCATCAGCCAAATTCATGGAAGATATGTCCCATCCTTATTAAAATAGATAAATAGAAAATATAATGGAAAAAAATAATAACAGAATAAAAATTTTAGGAGTGTGCAATATGCATTATTAAATAGTTACCATCAAAAATTATATCATTTGGATCTATCATTGGCAGCATATTTTTAAGGGGAACATAAATTTGACCATCTTCACTATTATCTCCTAAATGTATAGTAGCAGATTGGGTAATCGATCCAAAATAATTAGCTTGCTTTAATTATAATTATTTTTAAGAATAGAAAATTAAACTTACAATAACTCCAGTTTTAGTGTTCCAAGATAACTTTTCTTTATTTGCTAATGTAGCAGCGGTTAAAGTTGTCCCATTGTTTCCACCCCATCCAACTAACATAACACCTAATTTTGGTAACTTTTTTACAGTTCGAAATACCATTTTATGGTTTAATGGGTAAACATTTAATTTCCCATTATTTTTTTCAATCCTTGTTGTATCATAATTATAGGAAGATTCAATAAATTCTTCATTATATTTAACATTAGGTGAAATTACAAAAAAAGATGACATTATAAATATTTATAATTTTAGAGTATCTAAAATTTTACGTGATAAAATTTTTAAAAAAAATAAAAAAAGCTGATTTCTAGAAACACATTATATTTTTTTTCACAAGGTATGAAGCATTTTTATTATATTATCTAAATTTAAATATTTTTTCTAAACTGATTGAGCAGTATCTTAAATACTTATATTTAAAATATAAATATCTTTTTGAATTGAAATCTATAGCCCAGGAATTTTTAGTTGGAAGAGGGGATGGAATGGCAACTGTTTATTGGAAGGGGTAGGGGGGGGAGATATTTTTTTATTAAAAAAAATCAGACGCTCACCATTTTTACTGAAACTTTTAAAATACATGAATGATATATATATGTTTTATTTTCTATTCTTTTGTATACAATTTTTTAAGGCTATTTTTTAAAATATTTAACTCCCGAGTAGTGTTGATAAATAGTCAGTCTGTAGAGTTTTAAGAATGACCCGATTAAAATTATAATTAATAATAATATGTAAGCCTAGAGATTTTGTCATAGTTGGCATAGATGTTTGGATATCTATTTGCCAAATCTACATAATATTATCTTGGCTCAAATATTAATCAGGCTCTTTTTAGAAGTTGAACCAGACTTTTGAACTGGACTACTCGCAAGGTTGTTAAAAAAACTAAAATAACACATCAAAATAAAAATTAGAACTAAATTATGTTTTCGTTTATCTTTCAGCTATCATCAGGTGTTGAATAAACCCTTTAGAGCGTAAATGAGACCGCGCAAGAAGCTATCCCTTTGGAGTGTAAATGATATCGCACAAAAAGCTATTGATACACCATTAATAGCTATCATACTTAATCAGGAGGTAAGAGGGGGTGGGGGGGGGGGGGGGGTAAGAACAGTTCGCAGTCAAATTTTTTAGGGAATAGTAGTGGGATTAGCTAGGGGGGAAGGATAAATTTATTGCGGGGTTATCTATTAAATTTTTAGATGAAATAGGAGAAAATGTTATGCTATAAAAATTAATACTTTTATTACAGACCATTATAATACATTTTACAATGATATTAAAAATCGAATCATAGAAACAATTATATAAATAAAACTATTTCTGAATAATTTTCTGCTATCATTCTAAATATAATTTTAAAGGTATAGACATTATATCAATAAATTCATATTCATGCCAAACAATTATAATAATACATTCATTATAAATGAGAGGTTTTTTAATTGAATTTATGTTCCAAAAAATAACTCTTTTACATTCACAATATTTTGATAGTAGAGCATTAATAATTAAAGTTATTCTTTTTAAAATTTATGAAGGGAGTACCATTATAATTGAAAAAGTGTAATTAATATATTAATTTTTTAGGGGGTCGGGATAGGTTTCTGAGGGGAGTTTGCACCCAGGGAATTAGCTGTAATTGCATTTATATAACTATTTAAATGCAATTTGATGCTTTTTTTATATATAATATTATTAGAATCATTTTTTCTTATGCTTCAATAATTCCTTTGCAATCTTCCTTCCGTGATTAATGTTTCAATATTAAGGCTTAATAAGGACGCATTGTGGCTAGTATTGTTAATTTTAATACTCTGAACCTTAATTGGAGACGTAAAATACGCTTTTAAATTGAGCGCCTCAATGAGACTAGAGTTTGTTCGATGAGTCGGCTTCAAAGTTTACTCGTTAAGTTGGCTTTAAAATTGACTAAATTAGTCGACACAAATTATTTGAATCGGCCAGCTATTATTATTTGCTCCACGAAAGAAATATTAAAAATTTTTTAACTATTTTGCTACTTCCAAAAAATAGTAGAAATTTCACCTATTCTGGTTTGATTTGAATTAAGGGTTTTTAAATAGTTCGCTTCTAATATTATTGTTGGAAAATACTTAGTTTTCTCTTCTAATAGCATTAAAAAAGAATTTAGGAGATAAAAACATTACCTACATCCAAATAATTTTTCCAGAACTTTATAAATCATGATTTTTTTAACTTTTTGTTTTTAACCTTTTGTTTCTAAACTTGTGATATTTTATATTACGGTTTCTCAGAAAAAATTTAAAATGTTAGAAAATATTTTTTCTTATCTCCTTTCTCCCCTTTGCCTAGTAAAGGTTAAATATTTGATGATGGCTTCAGAAGGGTCGCAGTTCATTTTAAAAAATTTAAATAAATCTTTTAAATTATTTTTAAATTAAACTCTTATTTGTCTAATAATTAATTTATAGATTACAGGAGCAGGGGGTATGAGGTAAAATTGTCATTAAAATATGATAGGTGTGGAAGGGAGGTAGGAAGAAATAGAGATCAAAGTAGGCCTAGAATGTATGATTTTTTGAAGGTTTAGATTTCGTTATTTTTTTTGCAAAAAATATTTAAATGGCAAAAATAATTTCGTCTAGGAGAATGGTTAAAATATTTAGGGAGATATTATTTTTATTCAGTTTTATACATTAACCAAGTATTGCAAGAAAAATTTCAAATTTATTATAAAAATAAAAAGCTATAAAATTTTTAAAAAATATTTAAATGTGCATCAGAGATCGCAGAGGTGCCATTTGTATGGCCCGGCTCAATTTTTTTTAAAAAAATAAGGTCCGTCCCGGATCCGCCCGTGTATTAAAAAATTAAAATATGGCACGGTCCGGGGGCTTAGGACCGGGACTGCAGGTCTCTGATATGCATATATGCATTAACCTAAAATTCAATTTGCCTATGATTAAAAATAACTTCTAAAATAAATCTAACATATTTTATCATTTATTTAATAGTTTATAATTACAAGAAATTATGTAATATTTTTATCTAGTAATTTGCCACCCCTGTTATGTAGGTTCAGCGTCTACATGAGCGGGAGGGGTAGGAACAGTTTGCATCCTATTTTTTTGAGAGGGTAGGGGGTAAGCTGCTTTAATGGGGGTAGGATAAATTTTTGGGGGTTATCTATTAAATTTTGAGATGAAATAGGACAAAAATTTTTGGTGTAAAAATTAATACTTTTATTATAGTATTATTATAATACAATTCGTCGACCAAATCTATATATTGCAAACAATCATACACATTGTTTTCCAAATAAACTATCCTTTTAAATGTAATTTAAAAGGTTTAAATATTTCAGCAAGCTCATAATGGCATAATAATTAATTCATTGTAAATAATGGAGGTTTTAATTGAATTTATTATCTAAAAAATAAATTCTTTATATTCACAAAATATCGATAGTTGGTAATAGAGATAGATTAATTTAAGTAATCTTTATAAATTCTTTGAAAAGAGTATCAATAATAGGTGGAAATAATGATAAAGAGACACCGCCGGTTTAAATTTGAATAGTTACGGAAAATAGCTTTTTTTAATATATAAAGTTAAATATTATAATTTGAATATGAAAACGACTAGATTATATGATGTAAATTTTAGTAGTGTAAATATAGCGATAAAAAAATGTAATATCAAGGATAAATTTTTATAAATTATAGTAAACTTTAATTTTTATTTTTATTTTGCTTTTTAATTCTTGTTATGTTAATTCATAATTTATTTTATTACAATTAATATTATTTAATAAAGTAATTAGTATTTAATTTTTATTCTATTTTATCTGTATTCTCAAAATTCTAACACATATTATAACAAATTGCTTTCAAGCTACATTCTTTATCTGCTCTGCTGGCCCGTGAATAAATGAATTGCAGTTATTTTGATATTGCGATATACATTTTTTTTGAATGATAAACTTGTCTTTAAACCATATAATTTAAATTAATGAAATAAAATTGGAAAATAAATATATCATGAGAAGCTTTATTTAATTAATCAAAAATAAGAATTATTATTAGGCTATATTAAACTGTTAAAATTTTAAATAATAAATTGCTCACTTCTAAAATAAACAAAACAAGATTCCTTTATAAAATCATAATTGAATTAAAATAAAAAATGATAGATTAAGTTTCTGGTGATGAATACCTAATGAGTTTTAGGGATATTAATTCACACATAATTGCATAAATCTATAGGTATTCGTATCTGCTTAACATAAGGACGTTGCAAGCTTGCTTTAGCAGTTAACCTCTTAATAATGCTCACTAAACTCAGTTGCAAAAAATGCCATTCTGCTTTGATCTCAAAATCGTTCTCATGATTGCAGAAATTAAAAAGTATTTTTGTGTTTATACTGGGTAACATCTCCATCAGAAAAGTATAAAATTATTTAAATTTTTTCGGTAAGGACTATGAATTTTTAAATTAAATGATATGCAAGAATTAGCCTTCATCATCCATGTAATAACCCCTCGAATCATAGATTAATTATGATTTTAACGAAAGGGGTTGCAGCACATTACTGGAATTGAAATAACTTATTTTTATTTTTCTTTCTAGATATATATATATATATTATTTTAGTAAGAAATAAAAGATGTTAATTAATTATAAAATTATGACAGTTGTTATAATTATTAAATTAATTGACCAATGAATGCGTAATTTATTTTCTTAGATAAATGATGATGTGAAATTTATCAATAACAATGACGTCTGTTGATCTTGGAATTAATTTTCAATATGACTTTATGTCAATAATTATTTTGTTATTTTATGAAAATAAAACTTGGAGGGATTTATTATGACAAATATGAGATTTATTTGTTATAATAAATCGTAATTTTCTAAATAATATTTAAAATGAAACAAAATCATTTTATTTTAAAATTTTCCCTATTAAGGCATTTTGCGTTTTAATAATAATATAGTACAATATGATACATTTTTTTGCGCTGTAAAATATTCAAAAAATTGCAAATTCAGGGTTTTTTAGCATTGTGGTTTAATTTTATTTTTTGTAAATTGGCTATTTTATAGGATTGAAATAAACCATAAAACTCTTGGCATAGTATAATTTTATCTGTAAAAAAACATATGATAAAAAGAGCAGTTTTTTAAATAGGTATTTCTAGTTTTTAATAATAGACTAGTTATAAATAAAATATATTTTATATCATATTAAAGGGGTAATTCTCAATG